TAAATGACTAACAAACATTAAATCATTTGAAAACAAATAATTCTGCAATAATTTATGTGGTCATTTTAAGTTTTCAGTTTCTGTATATATCAACAATAAGTTGTATAAATGGTGTCACTATGTTTGTTATTGTCAAACTAGTATAACAATACTATTGTCTAAATCTACAGAAATGGATCGTGCTTTAGGTAACAGAAATAATGATGTGTATGATGATGTCACTAGGTCACCTGTAACTTATCTCTTAAATAAGGACTATGTGGGGTATAAGAGCTTGCTTACTACAGGCTCTTCATAATCATTTTGTTAAATAATTCTACAAAGAAGGGAATAGTCTGTTAATGTATCCTTGACTAAGAATAATGAAATTGCAAAAAAACAAATTCACATATTACTTTGAATATTGTAGATTATTCAGGTAGTCTTGAGCTTTTTCTTTGTACAACAGAACAACCAGTAGTCATCTTCACTTCACTTCACTTCACTTCACACACATATATATATATCTTGACACACAAATAAAAAAGCCATAGACATTGAAAACAATTCATATCTATTCTATTGCCAGTCAGCCTACCTACCATGAACTGAAAAGTCTCATAAGATTCAGTAGGTAAATTATGTGAAAATCAAGACTTGCATCAAAAATATACCAATATCAGAGACAATGGCGTCATTTTTCCTCAGAACTATCCGCTCTTTGATTTCATTATTTGTGGGATTCTGAATTCTCATTTTTATTCTGAAAAAAAAACACGGCCTAATTGGCAATGCTTTCTTATATGTCACCGAACAAAGTGAACATCTTTAGGAGCCATTCTCCAATAAAGGAAATTAGTCTGAAAGTGGGCCATTTTCATCACTTGGCCCCCGTCGTCCTCGTCTTATGTCGTTATCCAGTATTTTTGATTTTGTCACATTTTCAAAAGAGAGGCGAAAGATACCAAAGGGACATTCAAACTCATATTTCAAATATAAACTAACAACGCCATGATTAAAAAGGAAAAAGAGAAATAGTACACAAAACACAACATAGAAAACGTAAGACTGGGCAAGACGAACCCTTCCAAAAACTGGGAGTGATCTCAGGTTCTCCGGAAGTGTATGCAGAACCTGCTCCACATGTGGCACCCATCGTGTTGCTCATGCATGTTAGCACAAACCAAATGATAAGTCTTAATTCGGTAGATCTCATTCGGGATAAAGGGGACGGATTGTAGTAACGACAATTGGAACATATCCGTCTGTGAACAGATATTCCATAGCGGTTAACCAATTCGTGATGGCGTCTGTAAGATTTACGAAGGGATGATTTCAACAGCAGCATTTTGAACACTTGGTGTAATAGCTTCGTTGTGGGCAGTAACCCTCTATCGAGAAAATCATGAAAAAATGCAAGCCCTGGAATATCGTATCAACTGTGAGATAAATAATCCGTATGTAGGCGCTACTAGATTTTTGCTTCATAGAAATGGAAAGTTCACAATTGAGAAGCTGGAATCATCTCTTTTGTCGTAAATTTAATTTTCAACCGGCCTTCATTATCAATTTATAGATGTAAGTCAAGATATGAGGCAGACTTAACTGTATCATTTTTATCCTTAGACCGGATTAATACATGGCCGCCAGGTGCAGTCTTTGTTTTTAATCTGCTGAAATGTTAAATCTTTCTTCCGGAAACTATATGGTATACAAGACGAAGTATTTTGATCCTTTTCAAGATTGAAGACTGGGGGATTCTGTAAGAAAAAATATCATTAAATGCTGATGGGATGGTTAACATGATGACATCTTTATTATTTTATCTGAAACTGCTGCAAGAAGGTGATTGTTTTTTTAAGTGCTATAAGATAAATCGGTTGGCACAAATGGCGGCATAGGTTGCACATAATATCCTCTTAGATTCTGACAAATATCATATTATTTTACTTTTTAAAACTTCTAGGACAGAAATAACATGGCATATTGTATAAAAGGCAAGAATGATCTGTAAAAATTGTATTCTCATTTAGTTCTGATCGGGATACAAGGAATATACTTTGAAACTTTGATTGATGATTGTGATGCTATGCATCTTCCTTCTATGATAGCGCAGGTGGCATTTTGCTCCCTATAAATCTCTATGGAAAGCCATATCTTCATTTTCTCCGAAACTACACAGGCAAATTTATTCAGTCCAATTAGGAAATCTATAAAACATGAGGTTTTCTACAAAGGACATACGCAAGTTTTTTTTCATTTTGAGGCATTTTTATATTCTGATCGAATCGAACAATTGGAATTAACATCCTTATAGAAATATATATCAAACACCCCCTGGAACCTCTAGTTTCACATGAGATTGTATGATATCAATTGACCTGTCACCAGGTATTTTGACTGAAGATTTTTCTGTGTTTGAGGACATGCCCGAATCGCACTTCCCACCCATATCACCATTTTACCATAAATATCTATCAATCCTAAACAGTGCTACGACAGTATTCTAATTCCATTGCAGCGATCCATTCTTTAACCAGTATACCTCCAAACGAGAGAAATTATTCGTATTTAATTGTAGTTTTGAAATTTATTATAGACTTCAACACACCCAAGGCATCGCAGGTCCGTGACTGAATTAAAGTGTCTACGCCTTATTTTGAGCCCTGATTTTAAGTAATCGTATTGTCATCTAAATTAGTAAAGCCATGCTGATTATAAGGTGTACAGTTTTCTCTGCTTTTAAAATCTTTCTGTTTGAACCCGGAAACTACATGTGACATAAAGGTGTCAGACCAACAATTAAAAATCCCTATCTGTTCAACCAAGTTTTGCAATTTTCACAGCTTTTCTAAATATTTTACCTTAAGTTTAACTTCATAGAAACAAGGTATATCCTGAATCGTACAGGTATCACCTTTCTACATGCCAATTTTCAACATACCTTTAAAATTTAATAAGAAAGAAGAGGTCTCCCAAATAGAGGTACCACTGAAAATAACCCTGGTTTTCTGGAAATCTTAAATTAGTATACTATGGAGCGCATTAATCCTCAATGTTGAATGCAAACTCATAGACAAGTAAATTTTGGCTCAAAATGGTCTTAATATATTTCTCTTTCACCAAAAGTTTCATTTCTGCAAATTTATTGGTTAGTTTAAGTAAACAATGACATCAAATGCACTATTTTTTGTCCGAGTAGGCCTACTTTCACGTTCTAAATTGGAGGGAGTAATTGATGGTCTGACCCCTAAACTATTGGTATTGGTATGGGATTGACCCGGAACTTGTAAATTATTGGTAATATTAATTATGTGGAAAACAAAAGGTCCTAAATGGAATCGTGTAATATATAATCAACACCATTGTCCTATGTGTCACTGTGTTCTAATATAAATTTGAGTTCAAGAAGAAGAAGTTTAATTTCCATTAAATGGGCTTACAGGAGCATAGTACAATATGACACAATAACAAAAAGAAACAACAATAGTCTAGTAGAATACACACAAAGAAAAGAAAAAGCAGGTTGAACATCATGAACTACACACATTATGATATTATGAGCATGCAGATGCACAAACCTGGGTTGACTATATAGGGAATCACTGAAGCATGACTGGAGCGGGTCCCCTCTTAGGCAGTCAGTGGGCCCCCGCTTATTAAAATTTCTGGATCCGCCACTGTCCTCGTGCCTAATGCAGAAGTGGTTGGATACAGATTGTAAGATGACCCGATTGCAAGAGGCACCAAGGGACGATGCTAAATTACATGCCCAAGTTTTCATAGTACAAAATAGAAAAATACTTAAATATAATATATATGAGATTAATTCTGATTGTCAATGATAAAATAAATACAAGAAGGTACATTATTATTATCATAGGTGAGTCTATGTAACCAACACGCCATCCTCGTGACTGGTGAAGATAAGCTAGATCTAGTTTGCCTTCATCATTTAAACACGCATTCAAATCACAAGTAGCGGCCAGATTAGATATTGGTTAGGAATCAAGTGCTTTAAACTGTTAGGACACAGTGAGTTGATCATGGAGTACATGCAGTTTCTTCTAGTTAAAGACGGTGTATATGAAAACAAAACATGTTATTCATTACCAATTTCATTTGAGGTGCACCTAAGACGTATTCTGTTTTGTCGAGAAATATAGATTTCACCACTGCAACAAGTGTGTTACGATATTTCTCCACTCGAGACAGTTAAATTTTAATATTTAAAGCGCGAGGCTTGCCGAGCTTTTTGAATAATTAAAATTTAACTGTTGAGAGTGGAGAAATATCGTAATACACGAGTTACGAGTTGTAGTGGTGGAATCTGTTTCTCTAATGATTTTTATCCTTCCTTTTCCGTGAAAGATTTTCAGAAAGTTGTGCTCTTTATATGTGACGTCATCAGGCATGGTCGCCTTTTTTCATGACGTCATAATAGGAAAATTCAGAAGAAACCAAGAAAATTTGACGTCATAATTAAATTTCGACCAATCATTTGCCGAGAACAGATATTTCACTAGTGAGGAGAAATATTTTTCTCACACCGATCAAGAAATGTGAAAATGGCACAAAAATTAGAGAAACACAATTATAGTCTACCTTGAACAATTCGAAGTCTATGTGAGGAAACACGCAATCGAGTAAAATATCTCCAGCGCTCAGAGGATCGCAAACCAAAATTGGTTTTGAAAGTACTATAGTTACAGAGCTTTGTTTCCATCACTATATACTCCAACACCAAAGCGAAACTTATCATTCATACTTCCCGCCAACAGAATTTTTTACTGTAATACCGCTGATTGCGCGCACACTGAACTTTTTGAAAACGAAAGTAAACAAAACTATTTTAATCACGAAATATGCTTGTAACTTGATTTTCTTTTAACGAACCTAACCACTAAATCAAAGAGTGTAATAATCATTGGTTTGTTATGTTTGTTTTTGTGCAATATGATAAAAATCTGCAAACAATGTACAATGGAAATCCCCTTTACTATTTATAGGAACATTCTAGCACGCAGAACGGTTACGGTGTAAGGTGCGGTAGCCATTTTTTTGGTGTAAATTGATATATTGTCTATTGTTTATATATCTACGATTTAAGAATGTCATTTTTAAACCAAACACAACCGTCTGGAGACCCAGTATCGCAAATGGAGGCACTTGTTGGACAAACAAAGAATAAAGCTGGAGGTTTCTCATACCAAGTTGACGATTTTACTCGTCTATTGAGATTTCTGATATTAGGGACAGAAGGAGGAACCTATTACAGTTCCGAGAAAGAACTCAAACGAGAAAATGTTCAAAGTATAGACAGGTAAATTAATATAAGATTTAATATATGTTTACAATACATTTGAATTAAAAATTGTATTCGTGATTTTAAATTACATAACTTCCTGTGTCAATACTTTATAATATTGATTGTCTTCGAAAAGTTGTGTCATGGTTCACAGGCATGCGGTTCACAGGCACTTGTTTCTAATAATCACTCTGTGCATGGGAAGATCGACTATTCATATTCTGAGACGGTTCTTCTGAAACTACTATAACAAATTTAGTCTCAGTACTATTTTTATGTATGGATATTATATATATATATATATATATATGTATAGTCGACCTTCCCATGGATAGATACAATTACCTGCAAGGCCGTAACTAGGCATATTATTTTAGTGAGGCAGTACTGATAGCCGAGCGGAGCGAGGCGAAAAAAATTGAGCCGAGCGAAGCGAGGCGAAAAATTTTGGCAGGGGGTCTGGGATAGATGGTGTAAAATCCTGCATTCTGGGCATTTACAGAGAGCTTGACATCGTTTTTATTTTTGGACACTTTTTATATATTTTTCATATTTTAAGACATGTACTAACACCAAATTTTTAACAACTTTATCTAAATTTATATGTCAGATAAACATTCAAATATCAATTTGAGTCTGCCGCCAGAACACAGAACAAACATCGACTCAGTAGCAATTGTTATTCAAATTGGAGTTTGCCAATTTTTCTATGGCCGGTTTCGTCAAATCGTTTCAGAATATTTGGTTTGCTGACCTCCTTATCGCGATGAACATGGAGCATGGCAAGACCCCACAGTCTCTCGCCACTCATGCATGCTCTTTCCCAAGTTTTCAGTCGTCTCAGGGCAGAAAACGAACGTTTACTGTAATACAGCAAACACTCGTCACTGATATTTTAGATCGAGAATCGAATAATGAGAGGGGTAGGAGGGGTCCGATCCCGAAATCCCATATTAAAAGAAACGAAATTCCGTAGTCCCGAATTAGAAAACACGAAATACCGTTTAAAAGGTCCTACCGTCCCTCAATAATGTCAAAATTGGATTACGGGATGTTCTTAAAAATTTTAAGGTAAAAGAAACATGGATAAAAACTAATCCATGCAGGTTTCATATTATTTATATTTTGTTTATCTGTAAAGAGAACGAATAAAGTTGGGGAAATGAATATGCAGACAGGACTGCTACCGTGCGGGTGCCCCAGTACTTGATTTGTCAGTCTATTTATTGTTTTTGGATTAGTTCCATTGAAAATATATTCAATACTCGAACTCTTAACACCTGTTGTAATCACAAACAACATCAGTTAGTTCACTAGAACTATTCCTTCCTCACCTTCAGTATCGCTTTTCCTTTTTCTGCAAGAGCCTGTTTTAACCAGAGATCGGATCCATGATGATTACCGTTACTAGGTTAATGTAATCGAGAAACCCGGTGAGATGTTGAGTTATATCCGGGAAGAGCAATTTAAAAGGAACGATGTGACTCAAGTTATAGAAGAAATTAAGGTTGAGACAGAAAAAACAAATGACTATATTTCGTATTTAAATACCATAAACAAATACACCAAAAAAAAATTCAGTGTCGAGATTTTAGTGAGGCAATTGCCTCACTTGCCTCAATGGTAGTTACGGCCTTGGTACCTGTGTCATGGTTTCATGTGTTTCTATGTCTATGTGAATATCTGACCCCCTGCCAAAATATCTTTGACCATATGTTATTGAAAAGCATGATAAATGCAGGGTATCTTATTTCGTTTACCAACACCTTAGTGTAAATATATTATATATATATATATATTTACTTTGTATGTCGTCCTGTGATCCTGTGAGTCACAGTATAATATATTTACACCAAGATGTCGTTAAACGATATTAGATACTGACTTTTAAAGCACATGTACAAATCATTAGTTGCAAACTATGTATTTTGATTTACTTGAATATAACCAGCTCCTGACGACAGTATAAAAAGACGTAGTACTTGTTATATATGATTGCAGATGAGACAACTCTCCACACAAAACCAAATGTCACAGAAATTAACAACTAATTACTATAGGTCACTGACAAGTCTTTTTTTTGCAGAATATACTTATGTTAAATTAGGAATATATTACCTCAATTTGACTGATTAATCAATTGAAGAAACGTATCGGTCTTCACATGGTAGGATGGTTCAATTCCCGGCCTGGTAATTCCAAAGATGTGAAAATTGGTATAAAGAACTATTATATTTGCTGCTTTTCAGCCAAGCACGCAGTATTAGGAGCACGGCTAAAACTGGTTACAGATAATCCTCTTGCAGATTGTTACCTTGTGAACTAGGTTCAACTAGCAAGTGCAAAATCCTGATCAGCATGTCGGTCTAATACAAAGCAAGGTTCATATTGATATCACATCAAAATATTATTGTCCTGAATACACATTTAATTTGCTACTGGACATTAAACAACCACCCATCATCATCATCGATTGGTCATTACCGATCTTGGTGTCAGCGGAAAATGGCCTACTAGTTTATTCATTAGCAAATACTAGTATTAAATTCTTCAATGCACTTAAAAAATATACCATTTAAAAAAAAAATCTCTCGGGGATGTGGAAATCATCTCTTAAGGCCAATAGAATCTAACTATAATTTTCGTCAAATTCTGCTTCAGGCTAGTGAATAAATTATCAGTGATGATCCTTAGCTTATTTTGACATTGAACCAACTTGGCTGCTAAAGGTGAATTAATGTTTCATTACATCACTTTCATTAATGATTGAACAAATAGGATTCACATTTAGAAATTTCGTATATATCATAGCTATTCCCCTTTAAGATTTTTGATTTAAGACCTAGTTTTCAAGTTGTTCCAAATCAGGGTCCAAAATTAGAATTTGTTTGATTCATCAAAAATTGAATAATTTGGGTTCTTTGATATCATGACGAATCTATCATGTATTTTATTTAGATTTTGGTCATTTGCCCTTAAGAGGTAAATGTCAAATTTCAAATTTTTAAGTTCTTAGACCTCATTCATTCTGTTTCAGAAACCGATGTTGTGACAAATATTTAATCACAATCCTAAATCAGAGCTGTATGAAGCTTGAATGTTGTGTCCATACTTACACCAACTGTTCAAGGTTCACCTCTGCAGTCCGTATGAAATTGCGCCCTAAGCATTTTATTCTTATTGACCATGGTATTTTTATACGACCGCAAAAAAATTTTGTGGTCGTATATTGGTATGACGTTGGCGTCGTCGTCGTCGTCGTCGTCCGAAAACACATTGGTTTTCGCACTCTAACTTTAGTTTTAGTGAATGGATCTTTATGAAATTTTACCATAAGGTTCAATACCACAAAAGGAAGGTGGGGATTGATTTTGGGGGTTATGGTACCAACTGTTAAGGAATTAGGGGCCAAAAAGGGGCCAAAAATAAGCATTTTTGTAACTTCCAGACATAACTTGTGTGTTAGTGTATGGATCTCTCTGACATTGTACCACAAGGTTCCATATCACAAAGGGAATGCTGGGATTGATTTTGGGGGTAATTGTCTCCAAATTTTAGGAATTAGGGGCAAAAAAGGGGAAAAAAACAAGCATTTTTCTAGTTTCATGACAATAACTTGTGTGTAAGTGTATGGATTTCTCTGACATTGTACCACAAGGTTCCATATCACAAAGGGAATGCTGGGATTGATTTTGGGGGTAATTGCCTCCAAATTTTAGGAATTAAGGGCCAAAAAGGGGCAAAAAACAAGCAGTTTTCTAGTTTCATGACAATAACTTTTGTGTAAGTGTATGGATCTTTTTGAAATTGTACTACAAGGTTACATATCACAAAGGAAAAGCTGGAATTGGGTTTGGGGGTAATTGCCCAAAACGTTTAGGAATAAGGGGCCAAAAATAAGCATTTTTCTAGTTTCCAGACAATAACTTGTGTTCAAGTGTATGGATCTCTCTGAAATTGTACTGCAAGGTACCATACCACAAAGGAAAGGCTGGGATTGATTTTGGGGGTAATTGCCTCAAAATTTTAGGAATTAGGGGCCATAAAGGGGCAAAAAACAAGCATTTTTCTAGTTTCAGGACATTAACTTGTGTGTAAGTGTATGGATCTTTATGAAATTGTACTACAAGGTTCCATATCACAAAGGGAAAGCTGGGTTTGAGTTTGGGGGTAATTGCCCTAAACGTTTAGGAATTTGGGGCAAAAAACAAGCATTTTTCTAGTTTCCAGACAATAACTTGTGTTCAAGTGTATGGATCTCTCTGAAATTGTACTGCAAGGTACCATACCACAAAGGGAAGGCTGGGATTGAGTTTGGGGGTGATGAATCATAAGGGGGTTCAAAAAATTTGGGGGAGGGATTTTTTTTCCCCTTTTTTTTTCTTTAAAATTTTCCATTTTAAATTAGTTATTTCTGATTTATATATAAAAGCAAATAATAATGATATGGTTTGAATAGATAAATTAAAATTTTTTAAGTTCTTAGACCACATTCATTCTGTCTCAGAAACCTATGCTGTGACAAATATTTAATTACAATCCAAATTCAGTGCTGTATCAAGCTTGAATGTTGTGTCCATACTTGCCCCAACTGTTCAGGGTTCGACCTCTGCGGTCGTATCCAGCTGCGCCCCAGCGGAGCATTTTATTTCTTTTGATCTGGGACTATTATACTAGTCCCAGTAAGGTAGTTTTGATTAATTGGTTTATGAAACATGTCTAACTTAATTATTTCAGAGTTTAGTGACTTATATTTCAGGCTGATAATGACTGATCAGGGTGAAAAGGTTGTAGAGTTGATTCGTGATGTCAGCGTCCATGGTAGAGCTTGCAAGCAGAATACCACTATCTACGCCTTATCAGTTTGCGCAAGATCAAACGATTTGAAGACAAAAAATGCTGCATATCGTGCACTAAGTGACATTTGTCGCATTCCTACACATCTATTTGAATTTGTGAAATATTGCGAGAATGAAAGTGCAGGGAGCGGATGGGGTAGAGCTCATAGAGTTGCCATAGGGAAATGGTACAACAGTTACAAACAGGATCCACAGAAACTAGCATATCACGTGACAAAATACCAAAGTCGACATTCTTGGAATCATAAAGATGTACTTCGATTGGCTCACATCAAACCTGAAACAAAGGCAATTAATAAAGTCATTAAGTATATTGTCAAAGGTCTAAACGAGGCAAAAGCTGACCCATTACCGATGGACGATGATGCGAAAGATCAAGAAGTTTTAGATTTCTTGGAAGGTGTTGAACATGCAAAGAAATGTCCCCGTCAGGAAATTGAAAAAATGAGAGAGCTAATTGCCATCCATCAGCTAGCAAGAGAACATGTTCCAACTACAATGCTGGACTCTGTTGAAATTTGGGACATTCTGTTCCGACAAATGCCGATGACGGCAATGATTAGAAATCTAGGGAAAATGTCCAGTCTTCAGATGTTTAAATCTGGTGAAAAAGAGGGAAAATTTAGAGAAGATTTGGTGATTGAAAAATTGGGCAGTGAAGAATTATTGAAGAACGCGAGAATACATCCGTTTACAATAATGACAGCTTGGTATCAGTACCAAGCTGGGAGGGGAGAAAAAGGAAAGTTGTCATGGCCAGTAAACGATAAAATTGTGAACGCTTTAGAGGGCGCTTTCTATAAAGCCTTCCGATTTGTTGAACCAACAAACAAAAGGTATCTACTAGCTGTTGATGTCAGTGGATCTATGACGGCACCTGTTCATGGTTCCAGTCAAATTACCTGTCGTGATGCCTCTGCTGCTATGATGTTACTGACCGCAAAAACAGAAAAGACCTGCGATGTCCTAGCGTTTTCTGAAAATTTTACCAAACTAGACGTTTCAGCAACAGACAATATGAAGTCTGTCATTGATAAATGCTCGCGTTTACCATTCCAACGTACAGACTGTTCGCTTCCAATGCAGTACGCCTGTAAGCAAAAACAAGAGTATGATGTGTTTGTCGTATACACAGATTCCGAAACATTCTTTGGAAATATGCATCCATCAAAAGCTCTTGAAGAATACAGAAAATATTCCGGAATCCGAGACTCGCGTCTGATTGTCTGTGGAATGGCTACTAATGGGTTTAGTATTGCTGATCCGAGCGACAAGTTTATGATGGACGTTGTTGGATTCGACACAAATGCACCGAAAGCCATGGCATCCTTTGTTAAAGGGGAATTATAAGATACTTCCATGAAAAAAACATGTAAAAATATATTCTTTCATCAAGAATTTTTGACGTTCGTTAAGCAATCATTATCACGAAATACTACACACATCATCTTATTCTGACATTTAAGAAAATTTTACGCTTTAATTTGTAGAAGAAATTATTTGTACATATAACATCCATATTTTACTTTCAAAGATACATTTCTCGATAGGCCATAGAGTAAGTGTGGCAATATACTATAGCAAGTCCGGTTACTTTTATACATACTTATATCTTTGTTTGTTTGTTACTTGAATTGTTTTTGATTTATTTTATTGAGAAGAGAATGTTTTATTAATTCGTTTGACTGTATCATGTATTAAGAACATGCGATATATTCAAGAAGCGATGAGCATGCAAAAAGGAGCTGTTAGTGTTAGTATTTGTCATTTCTGGGTCTTTTTTTTTTTGCTCACTATGCGGTATGGGTTTCGCTCATTTTTATACGACCGCAAAAAATTTTTGTGGTCGTATATTGGTATGACGTTGGCGTCGTCGTCGTCGTCGTCGTCGTCGTCGTCGTCGTCGTCCGGCGTCGTCGTCCGAATACACATTAGTTTTCGCACTCTAACTTTAGTTTAAGTGAATGGATCTCAATGAAATTTTACCATAAGGTTCAATACCACAAAAGGAAGGTGGGGGTTATGGTACTAACAGTTAAGGAATTAGGGGCCAAAAAGGGGCCAAAAATAAGCATTTTTGTAACTTCCAGACATAACTTGTGTGTAAGTATGTGGATCTCTCTGACATTGTACCACAAGGTTTCATATCACAAAGGGAATGCTGGGATTGATTTTGGGGGTAATTGCCTCCAAATTTTAGGAATTAGGGGCCAAAAAGGGGCAAAAAACAAGCATTTTTCTAGTTTCATGACAATAACTTGTGTGTTAGTGTATGGATCTCTCTGACATTGTATCACAAGATTCCATATCACAAAGGGAATACTGGGATTGATTTTTGGGGGTAATTTCCTCCAAATTTGGGGAGTTAGGGGCCAAAAAGGGGCAAAAAAAACAAGCATTTTTCTAGTTTCAGGACAATAACTGGTGTGTTAGTGTATGGATCTTTATGAAATTGTACTGCAAGGTTCCATATCACAAAGGGAAAGCTGGGTTGGAGTTTGGGGGTAATTGCCCTAAACGTTTAGGAATTAGGGGCCAAAAAGGGACAAAAAAACAAGCATTTTTCTAGTTTCCAGACAATAACTTGTGTTCAAGTGAATGGATCTCTCTAAAATTGTACTGCAAGGTACCATACCACAAAGGGAAAGCTGGGATTGAGTGTGGGGGCGATGAATCATAAGGGGGTTCAAAAAATTGGGGGGGGGGGATTTTTTTTTCCTTTTTTTTCTTTAAAATTTTCCATTTTAAATTGGTTATTTCTGATTTATATATAAAAGCAAATAATAATGATATGGTTTGAATAGCATACATGTGAACCTCCCGACAGGAGTACAATAATCCTGTTTTCAGGAGTCTCCTCCCGACCTCCGGTTGAAGAGGAAAATTATAATCCCGTGTATGAAATTTTTCATGAATGAAAAATTTCTGCTCAACATATCATCTCAGGCATCTGGTGTAACTCACATTACCTGAAGTTATATTTTACCTGTAAATCAATTAACATGCATAATTATATGGCTTCACTTGTCAGCTTGGGTGTCAAACATACTGGTAATCAACGATTTTTTACCTCAGGCTAACTGCCGTTGTGTAACAAAAACTGTGTATTTATTGGGTTACTTCCCTTGATTTATCCTGTTTTAAGTTACTTTCCTTTTAATAATGAAAATTTTTAAAAGAATATAAATAAAATATAAATTGAACAAATAATCATAAAAGGATGGTAAATAAATGATTTTAAATGTCTTAGGACAAATAAAAAAATAATAATTTGAAAATTATTTGAGGATTCTATACTTCCTTTCAAGGCTTAAATTGAAATTTATATAATAACTATGACCCTTGTTTTACAGTTAGAATGATTTTCTGAGTATGCAAACAAAAGCTATTTGCAGATAGTTAAACAAATGTTCTGGTTGCAATAAATGTTTTATAGAATATGAAGTAAAAAATTTAAAGAACATACTGAAAAAAAAAAATGTTAGATTGAACATGTAAAATATAAAGATGGAGAAACTTTATAAGTACAAGGGTACTATAAACATAATAAATTGGATGGAAAGTTGAAGAAAACACACTTTAAAAGACCATTTTTACAGCACACGGTTACATTTACGACAAAATTTATGTCGATTAAAAACCTCCTGATCTGAGTCCTAATCTCCTGACCAAAATTTCCCAATCTCCTGATCTGAGTTTCACAGTCCATCACATATATGAATAGGTAAATTAAAAAATTATAAGTTCTTAGACCACTTTCATTCTGTGTCAGAAACCTATGCTGTGTCAAATATTTAATTACAATCCAAATTCAGTGCTGTATCAAGCTTGAATGTTGTGTCCATACTTGCCCCAACTGTTCAGGGTTTGACCTCTGCGGTCGTATCAAGCTGCGCCCCAGCGGAGCATTTTATTGAAGGACTTTTATGGGTCATTTGGTCTCTGGTGGAGAGTTGTCTCATTGGCAATCATATCACACTTTTTTATTTTTATACGACCGCAAAAAAATTTTTGTGGTCGTATATTGGTATGACGTTGGCGTCGTCGTCGTCGTCGTCGTCGTCGTCGTCGTCGTCGTCCGGCGTCGTCGTCCGGCGTCGTCGTCCGAATACACATTAGTTTTCGCACTCTAACTTTAGTTTAAGTGAATGGATCTCAATGAAATTTTACCATAAGGTTCAATACCACAAAAGGAAGGTGGGGATTGATTTTGGGGGTTATGGTACTAACAGTTAAGGAATTAGGGGCCAAAAAGGGGCCAAAAATAAGCATTTTTGTAACTTCCAGACATAACTTGTGTGTAAGTATATGGATCTCTCTGACATTGTACCACAAGGTTCCATATCACAAAGGGAATGCTGGGATTGATTTTGGGGGTAATTGCCTCCAAATTTTAGGAATTAGGGGCCAAAAAGGGGCAAAAAACAAGCATTTTTCTAGTTTCATGACAATAACTTGTGTGTTAGTGTATGGATCTCTCTGACATTGTATCACAAGATTCCATATCACAAAGGGAATACTGGGATTGATTTTTGGGGGTAATTTCCTCCAAATTTGGGGAATTAGGGGCCAAAAAGGGGCAAAAAACAAGCATTTTTCTAGTTTCAGGACAATAACTTGTGTGTTAGTGTATGGATCTTTATGAAATTGTACTGCAAGGTTCCATATCACAAAGGGAAAGCTGGGTTGGAGTTTGGGGGTTATTGCCCTAAACGTTTAGGAATTAGGGGCCAAAAAGGGACAAAAAAACAAGCATTTTTCTAGTTTCCAGACAATAACTTGTGTTCAAGTGAATGGATCTCTCTAAAATTGTACTGCAAGGTACCATACCACAAAGGGAAAGCTGGGATTGAGTGTGGGGGCGATGAATCATAAGGGGGTTCAAAAAATTTGGGGGGGGGGGATTTTTTTTTCCTTTTTTTTCTTTAGAATTTTCCATTTTAAATTGGTTATTTCTGATTTATATATAAAAGCAAATAATAATGATATGGTTTGAATAGCATACATGTGAACCTCCCGACAGGAGTACAATAATCCTGTTTTCAGGAATCTCCTCCCGACCTCCGGTTGAAGAGGAAAATTATAATCCCGTGTATGAAATTTTTCATGAATGAAAAATTTCTGCCCAACATATCATCTCAGGCATCTGGTGTAACTCACATTACCTGAAGTTATATTTTACCTGTAAATCAATTAACATGCATAATTATATGGCTTCACTTGTCAGCTTGGGTGTCAAACATACTGGTAATCAACGATTTTTTACCTCAGGCTAACTGTCGTTGTGTAACAAAAACTGTGTATTTATTGGGTTACTTCCCTTGATTTATCCTGTTTTAAGTTACTTTCCTTTTAATAATGAAAATTTTTAAAAGAATATAAATAAAATATAAATTGAACAAATAATCATAAAAGGATGGTAAATAAATGATTTTAAATGTCTTAGGACAAATAAAAAAATAATAATTTGAAAATTATTTGAGGATTCTATACTTCCTTTCAAGGCTTAAATTGAAATTTATATAATAACTATGACCCTTGTATTACAGTTAGAATGATTTTCTGAGTATGCAAACAAAAGCTATTTGCAGATAGTTAAACAAATGTTCTGGTTGCAATAAATGTTTTATAGAATATGAAGTAAAAAATTTAAAGAACATACTGAAAAAAAAAAATGTTAGATTGAACATGTAAAATATAAAGATGGAGAAACTTTATAAGTACAAGGGTACTATAAACATAATAAATTGGATGGAAAGTTGAAGAAAACACACTTTAAAAGACCATTTTTACAGCACACGGTTACATTTAGGACAAAATTTATGTCGATTAAAAACCTCCTGATCTGAGTCCTAATCTCCTGACCAAAATTTCCCAATCTCCTGATCTGAGTTTCACAGTCCATCACATATATGAATAGGTAAATTAAAAAATTATAAGTTCTTAGACCACTTTCATTCTGTGTCAGAAACCTATGCTGTGTCAAATATTTAATTACAATCCAAATTCAGTGCTGTATCAAGCTTGAATGTTGTGTCCATACTTGCCCCAACTGTTCAGGGTTTGACCTCTGCGGTCGTATCAAGCTGCGCCCCAGCGGAGCATTTTATTATAATTATATACTGGTCACAGAAATGAAAGTACATTAGAAAAGATAAAATTAGCATTACTTGGTATGCCTTTCATCTAGTAAAGTGATAAATACTAGTAAAGAGAATCCCATTAAATTTCAGATTATACTAGTTTTTATACGCCCGTTTACGGGCCGTATTTAGGTATACCGTTGTCCGTCGTCAACATGTCAGACATTAACTCAAAAACGCTTTAACCGATTTGCATAAAACTTTGGTGAATTGTCTATATCTATTGACGTGAGCTCTCTTTTGTTTTTTATAAATTTTAGATTTTACGTTTCCGAGTTATTGGGTTTTATTCATTAAAAAAAAGGGGGATTTTCCAGTTTTCGGACAATAACTCAAGAATGCTTTCACCAACTTGCAAGAAATTGTGGTGAATTGTTTATATCTATTGACATGAGCTCCCTTTCGATTTTTATATGTTTTAGATTTTACGTTTCCGAGTTACAGGGTTTTATTCATAAAAAAGGGGGGATTTTCCAGTTTTCGGACAAAAAATCAAAAATGCTTTCAGCAGTTCTTATGAAACTTTGGTGAAT